GCTCAGTGGGCACTTTCTTAAATGACAGTTATATATTTGATAGTTACAGAATATATATCTTATCACTCCAATTAAACAGTAAATTACTTGAGGTTTAAGTGTCACAGGAGAGGGGGAAGCTAATGCTTCAAACCTTGGTTCTTATGTCCTGACAAAAGAAAATTTAAAGTCAAACACAAAAAGCCAAGTAAAAGAATTTTATTGTGAGTAAAAGTAAAGTAAGGCTCAAGTAGAGAACATGAGAGAGAGAGAGAGAGAGAGAGAGAGAGAGAGGCATCTCCTAGCAGAGAATAACAAAGGAAACAATGCTGCTTCTAAATTGATTCCTGTTTGATGTTTGTCAGGAGAACTGGGGTCTACCTTCTGCCGTCTTCACCAACCAGGTGTTTAACTGGTGGGGAAATTTTTGATGGGGTCCCCTAGCCTGGGGCTTCATGAGGGGAATGGTAAAAGCACATTTTGAAAATCTAGTAAGACTTGTAATTAGCAGCAGTTGGTCCTTTCTGGACTGTCATGGTGCTCATCTCATGGGGGAGGGGGCTTTATCTACAAGTCAGTCCTATGTTAAAGCAAGAGACAGGGTCAATGACTTGGCAGACTTCATCTTACTGCACCTGCGCTACTAATGAAATTTCCTTTCTGAAATACATTGAGAAACCTTCGGCCATATATCCTAATCCTACGTTGACCTCAGAAGACCCTGTCAGGAGTCAGCCCTATTGATCTTTCCTTTTTTGACGTATTTCTTAATTGGTTTCCTTTGTTTCTCCATGTTTATTCTCAGACTTAGTACACCTGTTCTTTTTCTCTATTATTCATTAGCCTTAAAAGCAATTTAAAGAACATACGTGGCCTCTCCACGTTATTGATTTGCATTCCAATGCTCATTACTAACTACTACCTAAGCTAAGTATGAGGGCTTACTTTGTTAAGTACTTTATATAGATTAGCTCATTTAATATGTATAACAACCCTGTGAGATAGATGTCATAATGCATTATCCCCATTTTTTTAAGGGGAACAGAAATGTTAACAAAGTCGCCCTAGGTTCTGGCTCCCTGCATGAGTTGAACGAGTTATAGCCACTCTGTGCCTCTGTCTCCTTGACTGTAAAGTGGAATGACAGTTCCTACTCCATAAGAGCGTCATGATAACTAAATGAGCTGCTATGTGTAAAGTGTTCAGAATAATGCCTGGCTCATAAATGTTTGTCAAATAAATAAAGGAACATCTAAATGGCAGAGCTGGCTGTGACCCAGGTCATTCGATTCCAGAGCACAAGTTCCTAACTATCTCCATGATTTCTCTCCTTGTTGATTGTTGTGTCCTGTTCTGTCCCTTCTGAAAGCTTTGTCAAGGATTTTGATTTTCCTTTTGTGGATGGGGAAAACAGTTACAGAGGATGTGATCCGCCCAGGGTCATTCTCTTTTCTTTCTGAGGATTCCATGGTGACACTTCCTATATTCCTAAGGGCCAGGCACCACTCTAAGCATGTTACACATATTAACTAGTAGAGCTCACAGATTATTTTAGTGACAGGTGCTGTCATTCATTCTATTTTACAGCCCAGGTACAGATTGGCCTGACTCTTCTGCCCTACTTGTCCTCTACCTGAGTCCTCCCTCAGGCCTGGAGTCAATGATTTCTGCCTACAATGATTTGGTAATCCAAATGCTGAGTACCAAGATGCTTATTGAGGGACCTAAACCTCCCTTGTCTCAGCTTTGCTGCCATAGTCTGTGACTGAGCCCTCTACTGGACCCCACATTTCAATACTTTTTTAGCCTAACTTCCTAAGTACATCAGAGCCTCACTGTCAGGCCCATTGATACGGTGACCAACTGTCATGATTTGCCTGGGAATGTCCCAACCTTAAAGCTGAAAGTCCTGTGTAGCAAGAAACTTTCAGTTCTGTGGGTATTTTCTGACTTAGTGATGCTTTGGTGCTTGGTGCTTAGCAATCCTTACATCTTCCTATAGATGTAAAGAGGATCACTACTCTTCTCCAAATGATCCCACATCATTTAATTTAGTAGCAGCTATAACCCATTTCAAAGCACAAGAGCATAAGGAACATTATTAGGGATATTTGCTTTCCTGGTAGAGCAGATCTCTTGAATTTACTCTTCTAAAACCACACTGGAGGAGCTTAGTTAGACATGCCAGCGGTTTCTCTCTGTCCTTCACACATGACCCACTGAGATATTGTTATATTTCCCCTCCTTCTCTGCATTTTTGTTCTCCCTGAGCACTTCTAATGGTTTCCTTTCTGCATCATCATGCAGTGTAAAGAGAGCAGAGCTTGGCATTAGGGAGACAGCATGAGTAAAGGAAAGAGCATGGAGTTTTCAGGCAGAGAGATGAGGTGTTAATCCTGTTTCTGATATATCATTTTATGTCTTTGTGCAAGTTCCTTAACTTCTCCAATTATTGTCTGCAAAAGGATAATACTATGAAAAAGTCAGTGATGATGTATGTAAAGTAACTTGCATAGAGTGGAATGCTATAGACACTAAGTGACTGATAAAAAAGGCCTGAGATTGGAGCTTCCTGTGGACTGGCAGGATCCTGAGCCTAAATGGGGGTTGATGTTCCCAAAGAAATGCTGCTGGGTGTCTGTTGGCACATGCCCAATGTGACCTCTTGGCCAAGTTCTCTTTTCTCCTTCAATTTCAATTCCCTGGGTAACCTTATTGCATACCCACAGGATCCTATACTCTTTCATATAACTTTCACAAGATGAATGCAAATTTTATTTGGGTAATTATTTAATTTCTATCTTCCCTACCTAATGACTCCCTGAAGGCAAGGACCATGTTTATCTTTTAACTGTTGTAGCTTCAGCAGCCAAATCAGTGCCTGGTACACAGTAGGCATTCATAAATGCCTGTTGCATGAAATATATGAATGAATTACAACCATTCAAAGGTAATAAGGAAAGAGGTATATAAGGACACTTAGACAGTGATACACCACAAGATGGCGATAATGCCCTGCATGTAAGCTATTCCAGGGCTCTAAAGGCAGAGGGTGAATGGTAAAGACTCAATTCCAGATCTGCTTGGGAGAGATTCTGCTGAGATTATAACATCTGTCTTTTACTAAGCACAAGGTTAGGCAATTTATAATGCATTCCTATAGTTCCTACAAAAAAAAAAAAACACAGGAGATGGTATCCCATTTTACAGGCGAGGAAATAAGTTTCAGGAATTTTAAGTAACTATTCTTAAGATACACAACTTGTAGGCCACAGACTAAGGCTGTGAATCAAGTCTATTAGCCTCCAAGCTGTGTCCTTCCTAATATAATCTAGTGCTTCCACTCTGATGGCCTACTACAACCAGTAACTGGTTTGTCCTTTAAATAGAAATCCTAACAACTCTGTTATTTTGTCACAGACCCAATGAGTAGTCTCTACACAGCCACTGATTTCTAAAAAACGTCAACTTACAGAGGAGGGAAAGTAAGAGTAAGAATAGACTCAATGTTTCTTTGTATTTTAAGTTGAATTCATGGATGAGCATTTTGGGAAAGGAGGAAATCATTTTCAGTGGATCAATCAATCATCAATAGTTCTTCATTCAGCAACTATGTATACACACAGGGCTGAGTAAATGCAGATGGGTTAAGATCAGATTGGGGATATTATATGTACCTATAGGACATGTTGATACACAGCAGCACCTAAGTGCCATGTGGATAAAAGTTAACCAGAAAAGTTCTTGTGACTGGGGTAGTCAGAGATCTGAAAGTCAGAGTTGACATTGAAAGAAAACAAATCCAGGGAGGCCTCAAGTAAACTAGCCCTTTTCTACTCAAGGTATAAACCAAGGACCAGAGGCATTGACACCACCTAAGAGCTTATTAGAAATGCAAACTCTTGTCCCAGACCTCCTGAGACAGAATCTGCATGTTAGTAGAATCTCCAGATGATTTTCACATTTTAAGACTTTTGAGGATCAAATGTTTGTATTCACGTGTATGTTTAAAATGAATTAACACTTTAATTTCATTTTTTAAGTTTTAATTTTGGATTTAGATTTGCTTTTGAAATAATGGTAGTAAATACTCTAAACTTCTGACTTTCTTCTCTACAAGAACCTATGAAAACTTCTAATAGTTAAATTTTCTGTGGGCTGGTGATTTATTAACTGGATAAAATTCTTATCCAAAGTATTTTTGCATGTATTTGTGTGAGAATTATTCATGAAAGGAGGCCTTGAAAAAACCTAAAGGATGCATTTTATAAATCACTGAAGGAAGTTAACTTTACGTTCACTGTAAGTGGAGTATATTCTCTTTCTTTGCAGATTGCTAATCTATGTAATATGTTGGAACCATAAAACTAGATCAAGTCCCCGCAAGTCACTCCTATTTCCTCAGTACTGCCCATCATTCTGGATATGTAAAAATTTTTTGCATGTAAAATCTGGGCTTACTCTGATGAAGACAGATAGATCCTTGAGACACCAGGACATCCAAAGGACTTGATTTAACGTACCATTGGTAAATGACAGTGACCCTCTATCTACCTGAGGTTCCATTTCAGTTTATCTAGTCATGAAAGTTGGGTGAGTTCATTCGGAAAGGCAGTGCAGTATAAAGAACAGAGCACTAGAAAACTAAGTGGGGAAACATGGGCTCAGGACCAACACATATTAGTTATGAAGCGTCACTTCTCTGAATCTCAGTTCCCTATCTATAAACCTAAGAGGTGAAACTAGATGGTTGCTAAGGTCCCTTCCTGGTCCAGCATTGCATGAGCCTGGTTACCTAGGAGTTGGAGCATGGGTAGTTACTCATTAAACCCAGAATATATAGTCCAAATAGAAATGGCCCACACCACTCTTACTTCCAGATATAAAAGTTGAGAATGCTAGTTGCCATAGCAACTCACCTTCATGAAGTCATTATACATTCAATTCTGTAAAGTGACAATATTCTGTACTGGCACCTGCAAAACTCCATAATGTTTCCTTTGCTTCCATCCTTGCCCCAGGCTACAGTGCCAAGAATTGTCATACTCTGGAGAAGCAATCAGAGTCCTCAAGCTGCCTTTCGGTCTGCTGGAACAGAAGGTGCTGACAGGGGTGGGAGTGAAGGAAGGCCTCCTTTCAGTTTACTAATTCTGCAGCCGCCCTCCACAAACTCCAGCAAATATTTTGTGATGTTGCAAGGTGTTACGAGAAGTGCAAAGCAAGCTGTGATTCAGCTGGTATGAAGACTTTGCAAACAAAAAAGGGTGATCCGTTTTGCAGCAGGCTATTACTTCTGCCAGAGTCCTCAGACTGGAATACTAAAAGAGAGATTTCTGCAAGACATTGCCATCATACATGCTGGATTTTCTAAACAAGACCAATTTAAAATAATTTGGCCCAGTAGGTTCCAACTTGTGGCCCTCAGACCTCCAGGCACTGCAAGGAATCTGCAAACCCATGTGAGTGTTCTCTCAGTAGATCGAGTGCAATATGTGCTCATCTATATGGGTTACTTCCCAAATATGCATAAATGTTATTACAATGAATAAAATAAATTGATTTTTAACATTATTGAATATATCTTAGCTTTCTATTTTCTTGATCAACTGATACTAAAAGTGAAGCTAGGATCTTGCTTGAGGTTATTTATTTATTTATTTGTTAATGTTGAAATGCAGTTTCCACACTTAGCAAATTGTTTGTCTTGATTTTTGGGGTGGAGAACAGAGACCTCTTATCATCAGGAGAGAACATTCCCCCTGTTTATTGGCTCTGTTTTCATGGCATATGTTGGATAGTATACCCATTACTTGGTTTCTTGAACCTGAACACTTTTTGAGAAGACGTTTAAGTGGCTAACTGAGCACCGCTCCTTTATTAGAAATGTCAACCCTGAATATAAATAAACCGCAAGCCGTGGATACAGTTCCACATGCTGATGTGAGAACTTCAACTACTTTTGACTTCAAGCCTCCATTTCTTTAAACTGTTAGAAATGAACCCTCAGTGAACTCATGGCCTTCAACCTTTCCTTTCCCTTGGGTTGTATTTAGGAAAAGCCTTTCTGAAATGGGCTTATGAGATGCAAGGTGTGCAGTGGGAGAGGAGTGGAGGGACTAACATGGACCTCAAGATCACTGTTCCGCACTGGCTTTTACTGAGCCATTCTTCACAGTTTGATGACCTCATTCAGGCCCAGGAGTACCTCTATTTCTGTCATCCTCTTGGTCACAAGGAGGCATTTTTTATCTTACAAGGGGCTGTAAAACAGCATGTCTGCCTGCCTCAGTTCCCTTTAGCAGGAACCAACTATGCACCCATTTCTTCTCTGGGGTCTTGCCACTTTCCTGGGGTTCTATTGAGGATAAGGAATAAGTACCTCAAAGACATCTGGAACTGTGACCTTCTCAAGTGAGCCTGGGGAAGGGCACAGGACTCCACACTATCTCTGCCATTTCTATTTTCCTATGGCTTTACTTCCTCTCTCTAAGATTTTTTTTCTCTTTTCTACTGTCATTATCTTTTCTTCCAAATATTTTGTCTATATCATTAGTTTTTGTTTTTTCTTCCTTAAGGGCAGCTACTTTTGTTTCTTTGTCCCTTGCTCTCACTCATCTTCTCTGAGGTAAGGAGCACAAACTAGGAGAGCTTTCTAGGTGAAGGAAGGAATAAGAAGAGTAAACACATGGTAAAGGAATAGGCTAATACTATTCTCCCACACACACAAATTAGCATAGATTTCATGGATCCAGAGTCTAGAAGAAAAATAAGTCTCCCATGAAATCAGACACAGAGCAAAAAGTGAAATTTTAGATAATCAAAATAAGCCCCCTGGGCACTAGTACAGTTTTTCTATAGGCTCCTGACAATGTTTTACACAGGGGCATCTGGAGCTAAGTGCCTGGACTTTTGGACACAAAGCTGAAATAAAGGGATTTTTAAAAGAATTGGGTGACTAACAAAAGCTCCATCAGTTGTATGCTGCAGCACTTAGCCTGAAAGAGTCTTGGAAGAGGTTGGGTGGGAAGACAGCAAGTGAAAGCAGAGGCTCACTGCCAATGGCCACCCTCCATGGCTTTCTTTCATTCAACTCTGCAAATCCCTGCTCATGGGGCTGTTGGAAATACAACTGCCTATAACACTGCTGTTTTTGCCCCATTCAGTCTGAAGTCCCATCCCTTTTTCTTTCATTCAAAACAATCGAATTCCTATGGTGGACTACATATTGGGGAATAAGTAACCCCAATTTTAATTCTGGCAACCTTATATAAGAGTCTTGTTGAACAAAAAAATACATGGTCTTGCTGGGCTCGGTGGTGTATGCCTGTAATCCCAACAGCTCAGGAGGCTGAGGCAGGAGGATCGAAAGTTCAAAGCCAGCCTCAGCAAAAGCAAGGCGCTAAGCAACTCAGTGAGACCCTGTCTCTAAAGATACAAAATAGGGCTGAGGATGTGACTCAGTGGTTGAGTGCTCCTGAGTTCAATCCCTAGCACAAAAAACAAACAAACAAAAACCATGATCTTTGGATTTGGGCGGTCTTACAGTTTAGTGGGAGAGGGAAGAAGCCAGGGAAAGACTGGTTAAGGAGAAACTTCAGTGTTACGTTGGAGAAAATGCAGGTTGTAGGGTTCACCAAAGCAGGATGCCTAGCAAAGAAGAGGTGCCAGAGACGGTCTACTGGGTAGAACAAGATGGAACAAGTGGAAACTTCAGAGAGGGAGTCCAGGGTTCTGGGGCAGGGCAAGCTGTGACAGGCCAGTCTGCACGCTAGTCTCCTCTTAAGTAGGAGCGGCACAGAGAGCAGCTGCTCTGGCTCAGACCCAGTCCCCAGTTTCCAGTAGCAGTGATGGCTGTATGTCTCAGTTTGGTGGTCATGAACACACATTTTTCTCATTCAAAAGAGTTAACTGCTGCATGTCTTGGCACGAAGATTCTTTTCTCGTTTTTTCAACTTGTACTGTGGGAATCAGGAACCTGTGAGAGGACACTGAAGAGGAGGGTCCTCTGTATTGCAAAAGCCACAACCTTTCTTTCCTCTTCCCTCTTGGAGGGAGAAAGTGGAGGCTGCCTTAAAGATTTTGTATTTCAGGCAAAGAGTTTGTTGGTAAAACTGTGTAGGAGGCACCAGAGTGCTGCTTAGAACTTTTGCAAGCAATGTATTTTTATCATTAAACTTTTAGCTAAAACTCATTTGTTTCCAAATAGGCTGCTTTAGCTGAGTGTGCTTGCCTGAGTTGGGGAGAGCACCTTAAAAATACAAGTTTGTTGCAAATGATGCACAAAGAAACCAAGTTAACATTTATTTTATAAATTAAAGATGGTGTGAGAGGATATGAGGCTCTTTGGCCTTCAAAATCATACAAAGGATTTTATTTTGCCAACTGTGAAGAGTGAAAATTAACATCCTGTTTGGGAAACCTCAATCACATCACCTAAAGGCCAACTCCACATCATGGAAACAAACCAGAGGGCTGCATTTGGAGAGAGGTCCCCACATTCCAGATCACACAGGAAATGATCACATACTATTATTCTTGAGTGAATGTAGCAAGAAAATATAATCCTTGAATAAATAACCAGAACAGACTGAGTACATTTGAGTTAAACTGTAAACAATCATCTAGATCAAATTACTTAATATTTCAGTCCATGAATGTACAATAATATGTGCTTTAGCTTATGCCAGTAAGATAATCTTTAGAGATGTCTGAGTGACTTTTGGCTCTAAATTTAATCCTTAAAGTGATTAAGGAATTAAGAAACAATAAAAATAGCCTGGGAAAACATTGTACCACTATTTTGCAGCTATGAACCTTTACAACAACCCAAAGTTTTCCCAAACATGCTGATCATTTCTAGAACTAACTAGAAGAGGGGTTTGCAAAATTTTTCTTAAAGGGCCAAGCAATAAACATTTTAGGCTTTGTAACTCTGCCATCATACACAAAAGCAGCCTTATACAACATGTTAATGAATGGCCATGGCTATGTTCCCATATAACTTTATCCGCAGAAATAGGCAACTTGCCTATAGGCTGTAGTTTGCTGACCCTTGATTTTGAACAATCACATAGATGTAGAAACATTATACATTATTTTGGAAAAATAGTGAGTTCCTTAGAGCTCCACAGCAGACCAAATTCTGTGGGGCTGAGTGTTGAGGGCGCTTTAGTATGCTTTGGAATTTGTAAACATTAGGTAAAAAATACAGGCTGAGGACTGGTGACGTCAGAGAGAACAGATGCCTCAGCACCCAGCAGACTTGCAGGAATCATGGAGAGTAGTTAATTTGAGGTGCAAACCATTTCAATGAAAGGAATCACCATACTAACCCAATCCCATACTTTTTACACTTTCATCTTGACAATGGCTTTGTAAGGTACATGGATTCTGCACTTGACACCAACTTCAAAAATTAAGGTTGTATACTTAAAAGTTCTAGCTTCTATTCTAATTCAGATTCATTAAAACAAATGTTTCATTTAGGCCGGGGTAGGTCAATTTTCCTGCCACATATAAGGTCCCTGCTGAATGGATATGGCTGTGTAACACCTCCCCTGCCCCACCACTTTCTCCCATGCTGGTCACTTGGTTATGTTTAATTTATACACTGTATAAAAATATGGAACTAGGCTGTAATTCTTTTTCAGTAATTTGAACTGAAAGACAAGAGGAAAGATGCAGTTGTTGGCAGAGTGGAGCCAGAAGGGTCATGTGGACTCAGGTGCTGGAATAGCAACTGATGGGCCTTGTACAAGGTATGTTCATGGAGCCAAGCACAGGGTTGCACACCTGAAATCCCAGTGACTTGGGAGGCTGACACATGAGAGCTGCAAGTTCAAGGCTAGCCTCAGTAACTTTGGGAGGCCCTAAGCAACTTTGCAAGACCCCCTCTCAAAATAAAAAGGGGTGGGGATGTAGCTCAGTGGTAAAGCAACCCTGGGTTCAATCCCAGGTACCAAGCAAACAAAAAGTTCACTGAAAAAGTAGCAGTAAAAGAGAAAGCATTTCAGTTTCTTTCTGGTTCTATAATCCAAGAAAGCTGGTTGCTCTTCAAAAATCCTTACATTCCAATGACACCACTCTGGATTTATAAAAACCTTTCCCCCATCCTTTTATAAGTTTTAGTTTTTGAGATGGGATCTTCTATGTTCTCTAGGCTAGCCTTGAACTTGCCATTCCCGTGTCTCAGCCTCTGGAGAAGTCTGGATTATAGGCACAGGCAACCACGCCCAGTTTCTTCTCTCATTCAAGAGCTGTCTTTCTTGAGTGGGCCTCTTCTCAATACTAATAGCTTACTTTTCCACATGACTTGGTTGGTTGGTGGCTACAACTAACTCTTTTTTTTTTATGTTGGGGATTGACCTCAGGGCTTGGGGAACCCATGTTCTACCACCGAGCTCTAGCCCCAGCAAGGCACAAGGAAAGGTGGGAAGAAAATAGGTTAGAGCTGTCCCTTTCGCCTGAACAACCAACTTCCCCAAATAACTGGTAACCATTAGGAACGTGATGAAATTATCAAAAGTGCAAGAAACGGAAGCTTCTAGAAAAAATTAATAGAATAAAACATGTCTAATTTTGATCTTTCTTAACTTTTCCCTCTATAATTACATCAAAGCTATTTTGAGGGAAAGTGCCATGAACCCTATGGATAAAGAAAGTTAAAGAAGATATCAAAGGAGCCAAATTTTGGAGGATGGAAAGCAGAGACACCTGGTAACAGTTGGCAGACCTGAAGAGTCATTATAAAGTGACATTAATATAGGAAAAAAATTTAGAATCTTCAACAGGCCCAAGAACTGACGGCACCTCTGGAAGTACTGTGAATTGGGAATGTTGACTTAGGAAGACCAATTAAATGAAAGATCTGTGAGAATCATGTGAATTCTTGGATTTCTTCTTTCACCCCATTCCTTACCACTGGTTGATTGTCTCTCCCACACTCACCAAAGTCTTGAGGTGAAGGCTACTGAGAGGAAAATAGATAGCTTCGAGATGAAGGAGCACGAGGCACAGGTGAGGGTATTTAAAGACTCCCTGCTCTCTTCTTCCACTTAATCCTTCAGGCAAGAGAAATTAGAGGACTATCTGATGGGGAATACCTAGATATAAAATTTAAGAGTCCACTCATGAACATCCCAGACAGATCATCCTACATCAGCAATTCTCAGCTGAAGGCTTATGGCAATCTCTAGAGACATGTTGAATTGCCACAAACCCAGGGGCTGGGGTTACCAATGGCATGGGATGTGCTACTGGCATCTAGCACATAGAAGTCAAGGATGCTACTGAACATCCTATAGTGCACAAGGAAAGTTTCCTTCAACAAAGAGTTATCCAGTCAAAAGTGTCATTAGAGAAACTCTGCCTTACATTAAACCCATGGTCAACTGGCCCACCAGTATAAGCAGAGTTGCCAAACAATCCAACAGTGTCCCTGCTCTATTAAGAGTAAGCAGACAACAAAAAAATGATCATATAGCTGAGAATCAAGCTGGAACTACCAGTCAGTTATGAGATCACAAGAATGAACAACCAACATTTCAGTTTACTGTGTTGCCAAACTGTGATGTTTGGAGATTAGGTATTATATGCATTTTTGATTTACAATATATTCAACTTACAATGGGTTTATTGAGATGAGAATCTGTCATAAGTCTTAGTCCATCTGTAATAAACTTTCACTTGTGACCATGATACTAGGGATCAGATTTACTTTCCTGCTGTAAACAACTGGAAAACTGGGCAAAATTTAGAAAATTGGTTTTCGTATTAGACAAAGGGCAGCACAGGACTGTTATTCCTAAGAGGGTGTGTCCTGGAGGCACATTCCATATCCAGGCAGATTCTATCAATCTTACTAAGTCAAGAAAAAGACTGGACTTCAGGCAGTGTGAGACAGAAGATGTAGGGCAGAGTTTTGCGGAGGGTACAACTATACAGAAAAAAAGAGTTCCAGAAACCTTTCAAAGAAACATTCTTTTATCTTTGCTGAATACTAGGCTATACACGTGTAGCATATGAGTTCATAAGGCTGAAGAAGAACAAAAGGTGAGCTGTGAGCAAAGGAGTGCCCAGATCTCACATAGGATAAATACCTGTTCAAATAACTGCAGAGTAGAAAAGAATCCTCATTGATCTATCAGGGCCATTAGTAGGGATCCTAGAAGGTCCATACCTTAGGTTAAAGAATGTCTTTCTATTATAGTTTTCTAATAGTTTCCCTTATGATTAATTGGTGAATTTTATTAAATGAGTTTTTTTGCACTTTTTGAGATGGCCATGTAGTTGTCCTATAATTTGTTAATGTGGTTAATTTAATAGATTTTTAAAATGTGGGCCAAAACACTCCAACATACTGGCTCAGGAACTTGATTTTCTTAGCAAAATTCTAAAACTGCAAGAAGTAAAATTGAAAAAATCAATAAAAGAGATGGCATCGAACTAAAAAGCTTCTTCACAGCAAAGGAAACAATCAAGAGTGTGAAGAGAAAGCCTATAGAATAGGAGAAAAATCTTTGCCACCTGCATCTCAGATAGGGTGTTAATTTCCAAGACAAGCAAAGAACTCAAAACACTTAACACACACACAAAAACAAACAAACAAACAACAAAAAAAAACCAAAACACCAAGACAAATAACTCAATCAACAAATGGGCAACAGATTTCAACAGACACTTCTCAAAAGAAGAAATATTAATGGCTAACAAATACATGAAAAAAATGTTCAACATCTCTAGCAATTAGGGAAATGCAAATTAAAGTTACCCTGAGATTTTATCTGACTCTAGTCAGAATGGCAATTATCAAGATTACAAGTAACAATAAATGTTGGTGAGGATAAGGGGAAAAGGTATACTCCTTGGTAGGATTGCAAATTGATGCAACTACTCTGGAAAGCAGTATGTAGATTTATCAAAAAACTAGGAATGGAATCACCATTTGAACTATTTTGTGTTAATATATTTGAAAATTTAGACCAATATAAAAATATGCCAACTGAAACTACTTGAGAATAAATTAAAATTTGGTAAATTCTATTATCATTGAAGAACTTTTTATCAGGCATTGGAGACATACCAGAATAGAGTGATTTTGCAGGCAAATTGTACCAAAATTCAAATAACAGGTAATTCCAGCTATCCCACTCCTTGGTGTATATCCAAAAGATCTAAAATAAGAATACTACAGTGATGCAGCCACATCAATATTTATAGCAGCACAATTCACAATAGCTAAACTATGGGAACCAACCTAGGTGCCTTCAACTGATGGATGAATGAGTAAAGAAAATGTGGTATATATATACACATCAAGAACGACTTTATGACATTTGCCAGTAAATGGATAGATCTGGAGACTCATGTTAAATGAAATAAGCCAATCCAAAAAATCAAATGTCAAATGTTTTCTGTGATATGTGGAAACTAATCCACAAAAGGGGTAATGGCAGAATAGAAGTTCAGTAGATTAGACAAAGGAGAATGAAGGGAAGGGAGGTGGGATAGGAAAAGGTAAGGCAATGGAATGAATCTGACATATTTTTTCTATTTTTATATATGAATACACTACAGTGAATCTCACATCATACACATCTATAAGAATGGGATCCTAATTAGAATAGGATATATATAACAAAATGGATTCTACTGTCATGTATAAATAAAAAAGAACAATAAAAAAATGTGAGCCACACTTGAATTTCTAAAACCACGAAGATCACAATGTATTACTAGCTATTATGCATTGCTGGGTTAATTTTCTAATATTTTCCATCTTTGCCATGAGTGATAATGATCTTCCCATTTTTTCATTGTGTGAAAAAGTTGTGTAATGGGAATTACAAATTGGAATTGTACCAATTCCCATTGGTACAATTTGCCTGCAAAATCACTCTCTTCTGGTATGTCTTCAATGCCTGATAAAAAGTTCTTCAATGTTAATAGAATTTACAAAATTTTAATTTATTCTCAAGTAGTTTCAGTTGGCATATTTTTATATTGGTCTAAAATTTCAAATATATTAACACAAAATAGTTCATATTATCTTTATTGCATCTGTAATTGTTTCATTTATTTATAAAATTGGCCTTTCCTGACATGACCAGTCTTGCTAGAGGTTTGAGAATTTTATTAAAGAACCAAATTTTTGCTTTACTGAGTTCTAATAAATTTTTAGATAGGATTCATTTATCCTCTTTATTAATTTCTACTTTCTACCCATTTTCTCGTTTTCCTAAGTTTTATGGTTAGCTCATTAATTTTTCCTATATAAATATCTAAAGCTACATATTTCCCTCTAGATTCCACTTTTGCTGTATTCTACCAATTTTGACAAAATATTTTGTCATTTGATCCTAAATATTTCTCAATTTCCTATGGTTCTTTGTATCATTGATTATTTAAAAGTATCCGAAATTTCCAAATATTTAAAAATTATCTTTCTGCTATCCACTTCTAACTTAATATTTGTGGTTAAAAACTAGTTTTTCTATAAAATCAAATCTTGACCTGATGGCTTAATGCATGATTACTTTTTGTAGATGTTCCCTGTTTGTTTAAGAATGCTTATACTTGCTGGGTATATATTCTGTCTGTTCGATCAAACTTGTTAATTGTTTAAATCTTCCTGAATTATCATCTTTTGACTGCTTGTTCTATCAATTTACTGCAAGCAATGTGGAACATCTTCCATTACAATTTTTTGTTTGTATATTTTGAAGCTATATCATCATTAGAATTTTGTATTCTTGGAAACTTGAACCTTGTATCATATAATGATCTTTACCTTTAGTAACACTTTATGCCTTAGGATCTTAGAACCTACCTTTTTTACTTTCTTTTGGTTAGTATCTGTGATGCTCTTTAAAATGTAGCTTTTTCCAGGCACAGTGATTACCCATACTTGTAATCCTAGCTACTCAGGAGGCTTAGGCAGGAGGATCATAAATTCATGGTCAGCCTTTGGCAACTTAATGATGTTTTGTCTTAAAATAAAAAAGGACTGGGGATGTGGCTTAGTGATAAGAGTGCTCCTGGGTTCAATTTCCAGTACTGCAATCAAATCAAATATAGGTTTAGATCCTCAAGTATTAGCGGACATTCCTAATATAAGCACTGGCTTTGGTGCTACTTTACCCTTTAAATTTGTACTTTCTCTTTGTTTCTGGCCTCCGAGGGTTACCATTTTACTTCTGCCAATGTAATCAGTCACATTTTGAAGTACATCTGTATGTATATACCCGTATTTCTTTCCTGTATGTATATGCACATGTAAATATTTCTTGGACCTTTAATGTTGTAAAGCAAAATTCTGTGGCAATCTTATTTACAGTAATATTGAGAACTTTAAGTCCATTTTGACCTTTAAGTTGCTGTAACTACAAATCTTTTTACCATAGAGGCAAATTAAAAACTAAGAGCATCATTGCCATCTAGTGGAGAGACCTACTACTGCTATGTTTAAATAAGGCCCACCGTGACTCACAGTCATCTCATTTCCCCCCAGTTAATCTTGAGTCTTTTCAAATCTTTTGAATTTCTTTCAAATCTCTTCTTTATTTCCATTCTCCCAGGATTACCTTCGTTCAGTTTCTAACTCTTTAATATAATCGTTGCTTTGTAATTGGTCTCTCCTAGTTAGTATTCTTTCAAAATATTTTCCTTGTTTCTATTGATACACATTACTTTTATAATTTCATATTAATTTGATGCACTACATATCAAGTACTTGGTTAAAAAAATTTAGAATCAATAACAGCAGTCTCACTAGGAATAAAAATAAAGAAGTCCAATAAATGTTGGCTCAATTGGAAAAAAAAAGTACTTAGCACAATTTGCTAAATTTATCTAGAAGACAGCATATGCATACAAGTTCCCAAGCTTTCTTCCTATAACGACAGACTGATAAATGACATTACCACATGGAACCCTACTGTGGCTTGTCCAAATACTTTTTAAAACTTACGAATTTTAATTATAAGTTGTATACATATCCAATATAAAAAAATTGAGTTCTACAAATGAGTAACCATATTGATGACACTGAGAACCAGTTTTCACTATGGAAGACAATACAAATATGGAATGGGGAAAGGCAAGGAAGAACCCTGGGGGCCTAGAATGAAAATGGAGGTATCACTAAAACTTGTGATTTCTAATATATAGGTTTCCTGGCTCTTTCCACCAAAGGGCCTAAAAGCAATGACAACTAAGGAGATCCAGATCTTAGTTTCTAAACACCAATCCCCATTAAAGGAAATTAAGGACACTGGGGAAATGTTAACTAATTCCAGAGCTGGAGTGGGAGGAAAAAAAAAATGAAAACAAAGATGAACCTGTAATATCCTGCGTTGGAAAGTAAGGAGTTGCTCTAAGAATAATAAGATGTCAAAGAGACCCAAGAGCTGCTTGAAAAGATTATTCCAAATCTGGAATAATTTGATATCAAAACAAATTATAGTAACAGACTGAATACAGGAATCTACAAGGTTATATTATATAAATGTGTGAGAGAAATAGGAGGAT